GATCAAGAAATGAGGCTGTTAAGACTCACCATGCATTCCATTTCTCCAACAGAAAACAAGCCATCCTTAGTTACTTCTGCAAACATGAACGGCAATTCCAATTGCAAAGAAAAGTTTTGAGGATCTTCCAATTCCCAAACATAAAAGATCATGGAAGAAACCAGAAAGACTGTGTCATAAAGGACTGACCATTGCGCTTTACTCCAAGGTGTTCCAACAATGTATCTTCAATTTCTCTAGAACCACGTATCATGCAGGGTGTTGTACCACATACCAGAAGGTGGTATTTGCCAACCTGAATTGCAAGAGAGCAGTTCAAGATGTACGCTAAAGTTCATGTAAAAATGATTCGCCCATGCAACATGCAGCATGTTGCCATGAATTGCACTTAGAATATCTTACCTTTGTTCGATTAAACATCGAATAGAATGTTGCAACCTCATAAACACGAATAGGAGCAACTTCAATAATCTTAGCAACCTTCATTACAACAGGGTAAATTACGTGAGCGTATAATCACATGTATGGTATTTAATTTCTTTCATCAGAATACTGCACAGAAGCAACAGATATGGCACCACTTTTCAAAAATCATTGGATCGACATTTAACATGACATTGTTTATCACATTTAAATGTCAACAAAAACTAAATATAAAAGACTACAAAAATTAAGTGGTCATGGGGAAATCTACCTTAATAGCTTATACTATTTTGGCAGGATAGTAATGAGCTAAGATTAAGTCTATTTAAACTAAAAAATATTTAGGGGAACATAGCTCATTATAATGGTTCTTATACGCCTCATAGAGTCTGTTTTGAATAGTTGTTGTGGGAAGAGCTTTTGAATCTCGAGTTTTTTTCAGTAGAGCTTTTCGTTGGTTGTTGAGAACATCGAATTGATTGTTTCGCAGCAAAAATGCTTTTGATTTCTGACTTGTACATACTTCATAATAATTTAACTGAATATGATTAATGTATTATACTTCTCATCATTGTTTTTTATAAATATTTATTTCATATCTTATAACATATTAAGAAATTAATATTTTAATTAAATTTTCATGACATAATTATTTAACTATATATCATATTATTTAACAAAACACATATTTGTCACTTTCATAAATGAGGGAAAGCCAATGAAAATCGTGTAAGAATAATATATAACATGTCAAAATAAAAGTTTAAATCCACCTTTATTGTGGTTGATGTGAATTTAGTTGAATTACATAGAGTACTGTGAAATATGTGTATGCAGGAGCGTGTGTAAGAGAGTGAGACAGAGAGGTTTTAAAATTTTGTTAATATTTTCTCAGAACCTTTTTGATAAATTAATTTAAGGACTTTCCAATTGTATCAACAGATTCATAATCTTTTGAGCCATCAAATTCATGTAAAAATTTATGAATACATATAAGGTGAAAATTCATAAATGTCCATGTGCTTATTTCCCAAATTCGTTGTTTATCAAAATTCACAAATTTTATATTTAAGTTGGATATATTTGACATTTTATTAAAACAATAAGGATAAAATTGCAAATATAGAAGTTTTAAAATAAGACATTTCAGCTTCCCATATAAGTCGAACGTAGAGCTTTTTGGAGAAGCTTAAGAGCATGTTTGGCAAAGCTTTTAAGTTCTTATAAGTTGTGGGTACTACGGTGTATCCCACAAAATGTGTGGATAAGGCATGTTTGACTAGCTTAGGAAAAATTTAGCTTTGCCAAACATGCACTAGCCTCTCAGCTTATAAAAACTGCTTTTTGGTCAACAAGCACTTCATTTGTATGCAACAAACACCTGTTATTTGAAGAAAATGAGGTTTTGCTCCCCAAGTAGAGCTTTGGGCTTTCAATAAATCCTATGAAACATACTTAAACAAAGAATATAAATATTCTCGAGAAG